TATTTTACTTAAGAAATAATATAGGTTATCTTAATAAAATTTTGAGTAATTTTAATTTATTTAATTGTTCAAAATTGGCCAAAGTGTCTAAACTTACTGTTCACAACTGTCCTATGACAACACTGACCTAAAGCACATGAGTATTCAGAAGGATTTCTTGAGGACGAATATAATGCGTTACAAGCCTCACTTGAAACTATTATAAACATGGTGAATCGTGAAAATATTCTTGAGATTTGGCGAGTATCCTTATTTGATTAACATACACATAGCTACTCTTATTATATTCTTCTTTTAACTAACAACATATATCTTTGTACATGTCTCTATATAATTTCAAATGGGTTTTATTGTAGACACTTTTTTAGTGTTTTTAAAATATTCCAAAATGCTAAATTTGATATCAAACTTATCCTCAAGCGCTGGTATGCTGATCTAATTCAGGAATTTTACTCTACACCAATTATGGGTCAAACTGTAGAACAAGACACAATTACAGAAATAAATCAAGTAACATCAATTCATAGGCCTGATATAATTCAGCCTAGTATTCGTACAGCTATTACGCAAAAGCAAGAATATGTACATGGCTTCGGTATTGCTAAGAGTGGACTAAAATTTGCAGTAGAAAATGAATTAGTTGATGAATTCATAGGATTAATAACAAGATTTATTGAAAACCATACTGGTGTTGATACTAATAAACAGGTACTAGTTGATCTTACTCAAATTGAAAATCCAAAAAAACTAACACACAAGGGATATCCAAAAAGGTCAAGTTTTATGCAACATGACATTTTTCAAGATTTGGATATGGGACAAGAAGAAAATTCTAGATCAGCAAAATGAATTAATATTGAAGTAAATGATGATAATTTTAAACCAAAACTTGAGACTTGACATTGTGGTAACTGCTATAGAACTGGCCATTATATCTCTACTTGCAAGTTTTCAAAAGATTACTTTAAATAATACATATGTTAGAATTTATATCCTTGTAGTATCTTTAGTAAGCAAACTATATAGAGTATAATTTGTTAGGTGAACTATATAATTGCATTTGTCAATCTGTTTTTTTTAACTAGCTTGTGCTTTATATATTGTAATCAAAATAAAAAATTGCTTTAAAATTAGAAATTTATAGAATTTTGTTGTAACTAAAATTTTAACTTTTCATATTGGAAGTATTATTACAAAATTTAACATTACATTGATATTATCGAATATGTATATTTATATATGTGAAAAAGATCAAAACTAAAAGAAAATTTAAGATTAGGTATAAACACACTTTCCTAAATATTATTGTAATTTTTGATTGAATTTTTTAAAACTTTAATAACCATTCACATTATGATATATTATCAACTATAGATACTAGAAACATATTTCTTCAGCATTAAAAAATTTTATGTTTCTGGTATTAGCATACAATTTTATTTCTTTAACTAAAATAGTTTGATAACTGCAATAATTAAGAATTTGTAATTTATTTAGAGGTAATTATTAAAATAGGAATCTGTGAAGTTTACTATGATGTATTACAATTTAATTTTAGAATGTTAGAAACAAATGATTAACCTTTTATTTTTTTACACAATTATAGGGCTTTTAGGGTAAATACAACTTATTCTCATAATAAGGATGTTGTTATAGAATGAGTTGTAGTATTAGTTTTATTATTAAGTTTATTATTAGTTATTATTAGTATATTATTAGTT